ATCTGCAATATTGAAATAAAATGTTATGCTTTTGCATTGTTATTGTTAAGAAGCATTACGTGCAATAGGCATGCAGAGCTTACGAGAAAACCGTGGGCTCCCTTCCATATGCAGCTGCTAGTGAAAATTAAGCCCCAAGCACAGCTTTCAAGCTAAACAACTTAAAGTCAGTACCGTTATTTGAAGGTTATTTACAGTGTCGGAGGTTAAACGATTTTCTGTTCCGTTATTTGATGCATCTGTGGATGTCACGATGTTAGAGGACACTCTAATAGGGTTAGACTGTGGTCTGACAATGGCTGGATTATTATGGATAGGGCTGTATGGATTTTTCAAATTCCATGGACTGATTGGTAGTACGTCAATTTTTTGCATTACTCGTGGTACTCTCGTTCCATTTGGGAATTTGCGTATGACTGTGTTATTGGGTAGAACACCATAAACGATGTAAGGACTTGCTTCGGTTAATGATTCCAGAGGATTGTCATTGGGATCTTTACGTACCACTGTATTGTTAGGTAATATTCCGAAAATTACATAATCTTTCTTTGGGATCGTTGACTGGCTTGAGACAGCTTGAGATTTGACAAGTAAAGGTACCTGGTTGGTACTATTTTTGGCACTGGTAGTGCTTTCAAATAGTATTTGAGTAGTTGTATCTATATTTGTTTCAGTTGTAGTTTCTGTGCGAATAAAATCAGTAGTTGTCTCAGTATTATCTTGCATAGTGGTGGTATCTATACTATCAATAGTCACTGACTCCATTTGATCTTGATTTCTATTAAAAATATCAAATACATTTTCTGTTGTTATCTGTAGATTTTCTCGTGATGTCATTGTAGTTGTCATGCTGGATGTTTGTATCGAATTTGTTTTTGTAGTATCTAATATTTCTAATCTTGCTGTTGGAAGTGTTGATGATATTATTGCAGCAGATGTTGGCATTTTCTCAGTACTTGATAGAACATTATTGACATTACTACCCAAAGATTCGACAGTATTTTCAATTATTGTCGAGGTCGTCAAAGGTGATAAGTTGTTTGAAAGAGTTGTAGAAGTCATGTCAATGTCATCATTCACGGTAGAAGTTTCAGTAGTCAGTCCCATATTAGATATAATTTTTGTTAAACGGTTAGAAAGAGGAATATTACTCGATTGACTAATTATATCGGTCAAAGGTTGAGCAGTCGCTAATTCATCATTATGCTGTCGTATTAAGTCTTCAATCATTTTAAGAACTCTAGCCTTCTTGGATAGTACCCAAAATTGAAATGGAGAAACTTTATTAGAATCAGTATTATCATCACTTTTAGTCGATGAATCTACTGTGGCTGTAAGTGGCGCAGTCATGATAACTTTAGGGGGTTCTGTATTAACTGTTTCAGTAAAATTGAAATCTGCTGCTTGGAAATTTGTAAGGAATGGGACACGAGGAGAATCTTGAGAAATATCAGTTGAGGGTAAGCCACTTCTACTTGTGATCTTAGAAACTTCTCCTTTTTTATCTGTACCAACTAAATCAGCTAACATTGTAGTGGAAACTTTTGTTGTAGACTCAATTTGAAGCGACGTTATGCTATTAAAATTAGAAACTGGTGTTGATGTTATTTCAAATGCTGTTGTCTGACTATTTGGTACAGATAAAGTAGTTAGTGTCGTCCTTGTACTATTTACATTTTTACTTACATCATCGTTATCGTTAATACTACTACTATTTATTGTGCTATTTACACCTTTTTCAATGAACCCACTTTGGAGGATATTATTACTTAAAATATTAATATCTGAATTTTTTCCATTTATATTAACGTTTTCTGTGTCTTTAATATCCTCCAAGCTATAAGGAGTTGTGCTTGGAATACTATCTACGTCATTATTTGCAGTCGAAAGTCCGTCAATAGCCCTAGGGATAAGCGTCTTTAACAATTCAGCCATATCCAAGGTAATTCTAGATTTACTACTTTCATCCATATTCTGAATAATATTTGCTATATTATTAGATAACATGCTAGTTAGTTCAGACGACAGTAAATTGTTATTAGATAATAAAAGATCAGACACAGTGTTATATACCATTGTTGAGTCAGTCGAAGGTTGAATAGACGCAGGTACAGTTGTAGTCGAAAAGCTGTCAATTGTTGATTCTGTATCCGAATATAGAAGTCGGATAGCAAATGGTTTCCTTGCGGAAACAGGAGTAGTGGGGGTAGGAGTAGGAGTGGGCAATATTGTATTCACAGGACCTACTTTTCCCATGTCAATGTTTAGTGTGGTCATAAGACCGTCCCCACCCGACAAACGATTAATCACAATTGGTGTAGTTTGATCAGTGGCCTGTACAGTTTTAGCACTTGTGCTTATGGGAGTACTCGTTGACAATGTATCTTGACTCAATGAGCCTCCAACACTATTTACATTACTGTTACTCACGCCGTTGAATATTTGTGTAACATCGTTTTTTGTGTTTTGTTTTTGCGAAACTTCTGTTGTTGATGAGAGTCTGGTTCTGGGTGTGGAAGTAAGTATTTCAGCCAAGGCGTCAAAAATAGACACAGTAACTGAAGGCGAGTGATGTGATGCTTCAACGTTCATGATGTGTGATGATTTCAATAAACTCTCAGATAATCGCAAGTCCGCTGAAGACAATCTACTTCGTGTCTTAGTAAAAGAGATAGCGTTTATGTCTGGCCCTAAATCAATTTCTTCTCCCTCTGCCTGAAATAAGAAGTGGTCTTACCCATATAAATGGAAAAAATAGTAAGGTGTGCCTCAGTGTCATATATTTTTATTGATGTATAGATAAATGTATTGTATTTAGAAATTAAAAATTGTGAAAGAAAATTCGTGCAAGGACCAAAGCCACTTTATATAAATTGGTATAAAGAATAGAAAAGTACGGTGTTAGAAATAGTGACAAATAAATTCTAAAGAAAGTTTCCTCATTAAAACAAGTAGTGAGTTTTATACGTTTAATCTTACTTAATTTAAAAAGTTAGTGTTAGGCTATTATGATACAAATAATAAATATGAAGTATATAAGGAATGCCTTTTCCTAAAGATATAAACTTTAAAGCAGACATGATAAATAATTGAGCTTTTATATACTGCATCTTTGTTTCAAAAAGATGGTAATGACTCAAAAATATCAATGATTTAAATTCATCAAAAGAAACACCTTTTCTAAACCAAACACAGTAATGATTAAATATAATTTACAAATGATTTAATGAAATGATAAATGAAATGTATGATAAACTATGTGAGTCCATTAACCAGTTCTAATGATGACTCGTGAGTGAGTGGTGGAGCGGTGGTCTGTCTTGACATCGACTCTGTCCTGACGTCGTGCAAATCGTCATCTTCGAACCATTTAGGCTCTTCTAGAGACTTTGTCAATAGTTGGTCAGTTACGAAGAATTTCAGCCAAGCCTTTAGCAATGAAAAACTTACCGTTAATATTTCTATAATGTTAGCATGAACAATTATCGAATGCGAATAGAATTCCCATCGAACTAATATACAATTTTTTTGAATTTGAAATCTTTACTTAATTTACGGGGTCCGTGCAAATATCATATAAAATATAAACTCTATATACAAATTCAATTCGCATTCGTTAATTATGTGGTAATACCCACTTGGTAAACTTTATGTGAAATGAGCCTATCTAAAATAAAATAAACTATGTCATAGTGTTAAAAGTAAATAATTTTATGTTGAAGCTTGATAATAAAGCTTATTTTGTATAGTGCTATATTAAACATTCAACAAAAACGAACATGTTTTTCTTATCTGAATGCCAATCATATAAAGGGGCTTTGTTATAAATTTTGAAAATAATAAGTTTTAAAATATATGGATGTGTAGGATGTTAGATCTTTGTCTTGGTTTATTTCATTAGTGTGATTTCGTTCATAGCTCAATTTACTCACTGTTGATGACGTAATCGTTGGAACAGTAGGCTTGTAATTTGGCTTGTCCAGGTGTGGAGCGCGATACTTGGAACTGAATCTATTTCTAGATTTTTCAGAATCCACGGAAATCTACAAAAGTTACAATACAAAATTTTGTAATTAACAACTATTAAAAAGATCTATCCTTATTTAGGTATCTTATATAGTAGCTCGGTGGCGTAGTGGATAAGCGCCGCGGCGAGCGATCGGTGTCGTTAAGCAACTTTCGCAAGGGTCGGTCACGGCATAGGTGACCAAAAAATTATTATCTCGAGCTACTCCGTGCTTCGAAAGGCACGTTAAGCCGTTGGTCCCGGCTGCATTTGTAGTCGTTAAAACCCGCCAATCCGCATTGGGCCAGCGTGGAGGGTCATGGCCCATGCTCCTTAACCATCCTTAAGGAAGGCCAGAGCACCTGCAGTGGGGGCGAAATAAAGGGCTGATGCTGATGATGACGATATATATATATAAACACTTACGCCATTCGTTGAAGCTTCAGTTGTTTTTGAAAAAGGTTCACTATATTTCCTTACAGACTTCTCTTTAGGACTTTGTACAGCAACAGCTACATTCTCAGGCTGATTATATTGTTTTGCAAATTTTCTTACATTGTTTCGTGCTTGAATATTTATAACAGGTGGGATTGTGGAAGATATCATGTTTTCTTTGCTGTCGCGCACCGTAGGAGAACTGAAATCCTTGAAATTTGAGTGATATTTTGGCGTTGTCGAAATAATATTAAATGTTGGACTATTTTCACGTTCTTCTATCATATTTGTAACTTCCGTTGATCTTATCTCTTGTGATTCTGTACTGGAAACAGCAATAATAAACATATTATCTTTATCTTCATTTTTTTCAGAGTCTATATTTTGCATTTTCTCACTTGATGTATCAAAATTAGTAGGATTTTTCAACAATGTAAATATTAAAGGCATATCAGCTGTATTGCCACTTTTGTTCTCTGTCGTATTAGAAATAGTTTCCGTTGAAGACTCTGGGGCTGATGTAGATGATCTTATATTATTTTTCTTGTTTCTTAATCTTGAATAGTAAGAAGTTCTTGGCAAAACGCTTTTCGCTACAAATGAATCTGCGGTGACGTTACTGGTATTATTTATTTGGTCAATTGCATTAACAGATTTTTCAGTAGTAGAATTTTTCTTCTGAAAACTTTTTCTCGGATAATATGAAGATCTGGCTGATTTTTTTAATAAAGCATTAGTTTCAGTCCTTTTTGACATGGTTGAATTACGAAGTTTTGGTGATTCCGTGGTCGTTACCTTAAATTTTCTACTAAACTTATATTGTGATTTTTCTGTAGTTTGACTAGAAGTGGATGATGGAGAAAACGAAGATAGCTTTCTGCTTCTAGTAGTAAAAGATCCTCGAGGCCTTAAATCTGATGATTTTAACTGTTGCGTATCGTTTGATAATGATTTAGTAGGCTCTTCTTTGCTCTCAGTCTTCTCAGCATTTAGTTTACTTCGTAACTGAAATAAAATTTAATTCAATATGATCTTCTGTCTATAATACAACATTATTCTTCATACATATTTAAAAAATCTATGACCACGAACCAAAAATGTATCATAATGTGTTGTCTCGATAAAAGTATTTATTTATGTGACTAAATATATTAAATGTACACTAAGTGTTTACTATATCTTATATCAACAAGGTCATTCAATCTGAAAAAGTTAGTTTTATTAGTCATAAATGAGTGATATTTACTGTAACGATATTTACAGAGATTATAACAACAGTTCATAAAAAATGGAAAACGAATTAATAGCAAAATAAGACGGAGAAACTTGGAAGATGAAAAAAAAATATTAGTAGTAAAATACAAAAGAGAAAATATAAGTCTCATTCTGAGAAGTGTAACATTACCCTTGTATATTTATTTAAGCCCGGTCCAGTGTTAGTTGACTGTGAAGATGCTGTGTAAGTTTTGTAAACTTTTTGTGATGCTTTCACTGACAAACTCTCACCTCTAGGAGAGCTCGTCTGTGTCTGAAAAGTTAAATTTGTTGACAACTGTCGTAACTAACGTGTATGTATATATTAACGATTGTTCAGGTATATAGGTAACAATTATCAAAGCATAACAAAAAAAATATAACAGAAGTGGTCATGCTTAAGAACAATTATAGAAAGATGAAATTAGAAAAGGGAAATAAACTAATGGTGTCACCGCTACTTTTGACAGAATGAGCTAAACAATGAATATATTACAATGAATTGCGTTGTGCCTTACCGATGCATTTTTTGCTTGAATTAAGGCCTTAAAACTCTCTGGGTAGTTATCATCGTCGCTGATTTCATCACTTGGTTTTTTAGCTGACTCGAGAGAAGGTTTGAAATTTATTTTACCTCGAGATGATATTGGTCGCCGTATACCCTTTTTGATTTTTATGACTGTTTTTTCTGGTAAACTTTCGGTACTTTGTTGCGATATACTATTTTCTACTACTCCTGCAGCAGAAACTTGCATTTCAGGTTGACTAGCAACATTGTCCTCATTCTGACTAGATTTTATGACATTGTTTTGAGCTTTAAGACCCTCGCCAGTTAAATTTGAATCTGTTTCTGATAGACGAGTTTTATATCTCAATTTTCGGGAATTTCTCAGATCAACTGATCTAGCTGTTGTTATCTCTTTTTCTGGATCAATTATAGCATTAGTGGTCCCATCTAGGTCAAGTGATCTAGCAATAGGTCGAGTATTAATTCGACCACGTACTCTTTGTGGCACCAATTTGTCAGATGTTTGAATAGTAGAGCTAGTAGAACTTCTTCTTTTGAACTGATTGTTTCTACTAATTGACTGTATCACATCGTCACTTGGTGATACTTTTTCTAGATCTTGAAGATTAGAATTTATGACTTCAATCTTAGTTTCATCAATAATTGGGGAAGAAACTTCAGGAAGTGAAGTGGTCGTAGTAATTTGGACATTTTGCCGATTTCGATTTCTGATGTTTCTCTCTGTGTTCGTCACCGTTGCGTTTTTTTCGATGTTGACATTTCTACTACGTGACCTACTTTGAGTTCTTCTTGAATCGTATCGTTCGTTGCGTCCTATAGCCTTTGGTGCTTCAGAGGAAGCATTTGGTCTATCCGTTAACTTACTCCTCGTTCTCGTTCGCACCTCTCGTAAAGGAACATCTTCTCGCCTCCTACTTGTTCTCGGCTTGATAGTGTACTTTCCATCAGGAGGCTCACTCGTTTCTGTAGGACTGTCAGACGTAATCGGCGCTGGTAGCCTTCTACTGCTTTTTGGTGCTCCCTCCACCTGAAATTTAAAAAAAATTTTTTTTTAATTACTTATAACTCCTTTATACACAATAAGTAATTACTTAGTGTAGTGTATTAATCAAGAGCAACTGCTCTATTATTAGAAATTTAATCATCTCCTTGTAACAAGAAATTAAATCAATAATGCGCATAAGAATAAGCTACATGTGAAATCATAATAAGCACAAATTGCTAGATGAGTCTGCATCAAATAGCGTTATGTGAGATCAAATGCCAATGCATATGCAACATAGTTATGAAATATAAATTACATATAATGAAGTCAAATACAAAAGAAAGCGAGTGCAATGTGATCCATCCATCGTTATGAACAATGCTCGGAACGGAAAGGCACCGGCCAACGGAACCGACTTTTATTTAGTTACTTAATGTGACATAATAACTAACAACTGACTATTGTTGACCAAAAAAAAAAACAAGATAATGTAAATTATTTGTTATGTTCTTATTCAAATTAGTAACGAAATTAAATGTTAGCAATATGACCAATTCTTTTTTTTCACAAGGAGAAATTTAAATTCAACATTTTAAGATGTATTTGAATATGATATTTTAAGAAGAAAAATGCCCAAAAACTGTTTTCATTATAATACATAACTTGAATCGTTCATTATAAATCGCAGCGTGATTTCGTGAAGCTCGATTTCATACACGATTAACTGCTTCGACAACATTCGATGTGGATCGAGTTCGGTATTGTCGGCCAACTTGTTGGTAACTTGTATCACTTTAGAATTGCTTATAGGGAAATTGCGGTTTGTATCGGTACATACGTTAATAAATCATTGCATAAGACTTCAGTCCTGAGGTAAAACTTTCACCGTAAAAAAACCGTGTCTAAGGTATTTTTTTATATGTATACCCATGTCCTTAGATATTAAAGCTACGAATAACATTTTAAAGTCTTTATATATTCTTAACTACAATAAAGCAAACGGTGGACAGGCATCAGCCGGCATCCTCTACTAGTCAACTACAAAGAGACTACGACATACAGATAATTGTAAATGCGGTGTGTAATTCTGTCTTAATTAAAAGATAGATAGATAGAATGTTTTTGGTTTTGCTTACAACATATAAAAATTAGGTAATCGTTTATTATTAGAGAAATGGTTGCATATGTTAATAAACTAAGTTAATAGCTTTCTAACAGATGGATCACAAAACATTTATTATCTAGGTTCCGTAAGGAAAATAAACCTCTGTTTAAAATGTTTTTAAAAACCTCTGTCAGCAAAGATCATTCAAGCTATGTAACTTTCGTAGAGAAGTTTTTAAAATTGAAATATTCCATATTGAAAAACAAAATAAAAATTAAATTGGAATATTTTGGTTTGCTGAAATCTATCCTATGATTATTATATACTGCTTATCAGTTATTAATTGTTGGTAGTATGTGTTATAAAACATGTAAGATATAGTGAAGTAATTGACATCCTATTAATATGCATATTATTGTGCGATAATGTCAGTGTTTTGAAAGCCGCCATAATAAAAAAATGAAGTAATATACAAGCCTACTATTGAAACCTAGCCTAGTTAGTTTTCAGAAATCGGTTTTCCCTTTAATGCTTTTTTAAGTACCAAATTAATTAAGTTATATTAAATTTACCCAATTTGTCAGTAATATGAATACGGACACTAGAAAGGATTTCAAAAAACTTAGGAAAAAAGTAAACCCTGGCCAGCAAATAATATTAAATAATTCTTGTATCAAATGCAAGCATCTGTTTATATTGTTGCTGTTTTTACTAAACTAACTGAGATAATTTTAAGTGAAATTCAAGTTATGTTAATGTTCCTTTTATTTTCCAAAACCCTAAAGCTATTTGACCTTCTTGCTTGAGAGGTTCATAGTTGAATTGTCTCATTGGGCGCGGTTTTGGTCGTGATATCAAACCACTGGCCAAGCCTGCCGGAGGTCACAATGAGAAATTTTTGGAATCGTTCCCGTTTCACGATCAGTAGTGATTAGTATTAGTTGTCATAATGATATTTGCTTGCAGAATTCCTCGCTTTTTCGTTTTGTTGCCGCTACTAGAAGCTATAAATACAGCTGTCATATTACTGAAAAAAAGCTTCGTCGACGTCGAACGTTCTTCGAAAACGACTTGTAAACGTAGCTGCTTTCTTAGGATATGTGTTATTATAAGATTTTGTGCAATAATATATCAATTCTTATTACATTTTTAATTTAGCATATTCATTATTGGTAAGTATACTATAAGATCTGACCCATTTCTTTTTCGCTCTCTGTGTGTGTCTGTGCGTAAATGTGTTATTATATATATTTTAATAAGTATAAAATAATAACTTGTATACTTTACAATTAATATTTATCTAATATACTTCATTCATTTGTCTTAGGTGACACGATTTGCATGCAACCACAACCCTCGAGAGAGAGGTCTACTGCTTTGATTGAATACTTTACATATAAATTGACCTCATTTATTAGGACCGCACGTGTGCTTTTAAGATTGTACATGCATGTTCCACAATAATTGTACCTCATTAGGCAATGTCTGATAGAACGTGTGCTTCACGACTACTTTACTGCTACTATATGTAATAGATAACACTAGTCCCTGCTAAATCCTCTGTTGTTTGTACATATATTATTAAAAATAAGAGGCAAAATAACTATATCTTTTTTAGGAAATTTTTACAGCTTTAAGTCAGAATCTGTGTATTAGGTTTTAATTTGAACTTCATATCTGCATGTATAACTTCCGACATTAATGGTCATAATAGAAAGACAGACAAATAATCTAATATACTTTCTTTCGCTTCTTTCGCTTGTCTTTATTACTTAAAAGAAAAACGAATTTTCAGTCTAGCTATTCCATAAGTCTATATATTCATCTTAGTATTTACAATTTCACCAAAACCCCATAAAATTATTAAAGTCCCGTTAAAAATACCGAGAATCAATTACTTTTCTCTCAACTTCGTTCCCATGAACGCAGAATGTATTATGGTATTAAAAGAACGTAACCCTAGTCCTTCCAAAGGCTTCAAAGTATGTGTGTGTCAAATTTTATCAAAAACAACTAGCGGTTTTACCGTGAAAGCGTAGAGACGGACTGATCTACTTTCAATTTACATTATTTAGTAAAGATAATAGAAATTATAAATCTTGAATATCTGAGAGACCGTAAAAGTAAATTTAAATTTCAATTAGGTACAAAGGATTTCATCAACATTCTAACAGCGTCATATGGCTAATTTAGACAAAATATTAATCAAAACCTTCTTCGTAAATTACTCTGTTCATTAGTCTATTGCGTCCAAATAAAATCTAATTTGTAAAGAATAATTCAGAAATCATTATTTTATAGAAAACTAACAAGTTATTAACACCTGGGAACGTAAAATGCAGGATATATTACATAATCTAGGACACCACTTACTTGTTCTCGTGTATCGTATATTATAGGTACCTTTATATGTAACAACTCATACTCGCATTGTAACATACAAACTGTCCCACTTGTTACTACGCAAAAGTTCAACCTTGGCTAAACCAACCTATGAAACCAACCGCTAAATATTATGTTTAATATTCCGATTTAAGCTCAACAGTTCGATTATTATTTTAATATACCTACTTATTATAAGCCTGGGTATATTTGTTTCATCAAATATAGTCCAAAATAATAATAATTGGATATAATAGATGGTGTTATATGTAATTTAAACGTTTATACCGTCGCCGGGATTGCGGACCAAGTGGAGAGTCCACTAAGCATTTTCAATTAAAAATATTTTTCTGTATAACATTGTGAATGTGTAACTGATCAAATATAATAAAATAGATATTACTTATATAAGTAGCTCAATGGCGTAGTGGTTAAGTGCCGCGGCCCACGATCGTTGTCGTTAAGCAACTTTCGCAGGGGTCAGTCACGGGATGGGTGACCAATAAAATTATTATCTCGAGCTACTCCGTGCTTCGGTAGGCACGTTAAGCCGTTGGTCCCGGCTGCATTTGCAGTCGTTAATACCCTCCAATCCGCATTGGGCCAGCGTGGAGGGTCATGGCCCATCCTCCTTAACCATCCATAAGGAAGGCCTGAGCCCCTGCAGTGGGGACATAAAAAGGGCTGATGAATGAATATAAATTCATATTTGTTGTCCTTCAAAACACAACATCTACAAATAAGCTGGTGAACTGTATATTACTCAGCAGCTTCAGTACAACCTAGGTCAATAATCACGATTTTTTTCATAACTCATTCATAACTTTGTGTTCTTTTCATGTTTCTTTTGAAACGGATTTACATTATTTTAATAAATATGGACTCTCCGCCCAAGTGGCTCGTACGCCGATTTAAAAATATCGTATCGCCATCGCCCGGGGTCGAGTCAATGTAAAAAAAGAAGCTTCGTAGTTTATTTTGTTATTTATTTACTTTCACAAATGAAATAAGTTTAAAATTGTCATAATACAAGTGCTTAAGCTACTTAATTTGCCATCTGAGCAATATATAAGATGTTGTTTAAAATTTATTTAAATTCTTGTTCGCTTTTACTCAAGATTTAGAGTTAATCAGTGGCAGAAATTTTATTTAATAAAAAAGTTTTCTTCACATTATTTTACAAATTAAATATCCATTTTCACAAACCAAAAGATAACAATAATAACTAATTTTCATGCCACCATCTCGTTTTGCACATGTTGATATAGAGACGCGCTTAGTATAGTGTATTTATTAACGTAAGGTGTAATAAGAACTCTAATAAATCTTTTAAATCAACAGTGTGCTCATAAAATAATAATAATAATATATGCATGAATAGGTTACAATGTAAATTACACTTATTTTATGACGTCTATGGTACCCACACCATAATTTATACAATAATTGTTTGATAAATATTTAATTACCTACTAATTAATTGAATATATTAGGAAACAAAAGATAAAGTTCTTTTAATCCGTCGAAGACTAATCAGGCGAGTAACAATGTCGAA